ATAAATTATTTCGTTATTAAAATTAAATTAAATTATAATAAAAAATAAAAACTTTTAAATAGTTGATTTGATATTAACATTGATATTTTTTTTCAAATTTATATTTTAATAAAAAATAAGATCATTATTGCTTTCTTAAAATCACATAAAATCGTATTATAACATTGACATAGACAAATAATAAAACAGAACAATAAAATCGAGATATATCTCGCTACATTGCACGAGTACTCTTATAGTATATATATATATATATATATATATATATACACATATAACATAAATAATATATAATATTTTTAAATAAAATTGAGACAAAAAGGTATAAAAAAAAAGACTCAATTGTTTTTGTGAATATAACAAAGTTAGAACAAGGGACTAAACTCGGAACAAAATGCAAAGTACATAGACGGAAAGTATAATTATTTTACTGGTGGTAATGCGCCCTCGCGTTATCTTGTGCTTCTCGATCAGTGTGTTTAATGACAACCGCCATAGACAAATGAAACGGTATAACCGAAGTTCTCCACCAACATCTGGCCATGGCTACGTCGGCGACCACCACTTCCGCCGCTGCAAGTACCTATCTCTGTCGACACCATCTCTCCGTCGGAAGAAACTGCTCTAGGAATTACGTCAGCTTTGCGAGGAAACCGACGGGTAGGTATAGTGTAAGGAGTTCCGCCGATGAAGTACCGTCGTCGTCTGCAGCGACTACGGAGGTTGAAGGAACGACGGAGAGTCAGATTGAAGTACCAAAGGAACCTTCTTCTTTGATCTCTGCTCTTAACGTCGAAAAAGCTCTTCGCGGAATTGGTACTTTTTCTGGTCATTAGTTTGTTGTTTGTTTCAGTTTGATTCCTGGTTCATGCTCTTCAATCAAACACAATAACGAATGAATTGATGATGTTCTGTTTCTCTTCGTCGTATTTGCTTTGTTGTAGAATAGGATCTCATCATTTTGTGAAGAAAATTCCATCAAAACCTATTAATTTCAAATTTGTGCATTTTGGAAACATCAAAAAAGTTGCAGATGAGTGATGAAGTTTCTATTTAGTATGCAGCCATTACGGATGCAGATCACTATGGTATATTAGGACTGAAAAAGGGATGTTCATATGATCAGGTTCGTTAACATCAACTAATTCCAACTCCATTTTTTAGCATTACCTAAGATCCATCACTGTGTCTATATATATATGTATGTCGGTTAATGTGGCAGGTTAAATCTGCATATGATCAAAAGCTGGAGGAGCTAATGAACCAAGGATTGGAACAAGAGGAGCTAAGCAAGAAGCTTGACCTCCTAAAAGTTCGTATAAGATGCTCCCCAAGTAACAAGTTTTGAGTTGATGTAGACCAAGTGTTCGATAAAATATGTGTTTATGTTTCTTGTCAGGAGTCATACTCAATCTTGTCGTCGGTCCAAGAGCGAAGGTTGTACGATTGGAGCTTGGCAAGGAACGAGAACCCAGATCGATATGCTTGGCCTTTCGAGGTTGACATAACTCAAACCCCAAATTCACCAGACACTCCTCCACCCCAGGTACTCCACAACTCCAAATGTATTCTTTCTTGCTTACAACCTGGCAAGATATGGTATCCTTAGGCCATTGGGTACTTTTTTTTTTGGCATTAGATGGATATTGGATTCCGACCATTAACGTAGTAACGTCTTGATGGTATTGAAGTTTTAAGTTGGTCTTGTTTATCTGAAATGGTTACTTGTTACAGGAGCCTGAAGATGTGGAGCCAACAAGACTTGTAGGATACTTTTTTCTCACTTGGATAATCTTATCCATCACCTTATCTGTTGCGTTGAATCGTTAGGTTGGTGTTTCGGGTCATGTTGATGCCTAAATCATCGCAAATGTAACATCACATATGTTTTGGCAAACACCTACACCTTCGTCCTTGATCTTCATCCAAAATTTTGTAAATTAATTTTTCTACTTTTTCGAATCAGGAACTTTTTTATTGATTAACCTAGATATCCAACCCACTATGCGAGCCGACTAATTCCAAAGCGACCACTTACTTTGCAGATAACTAAGAGTCACCGCATTAGAACCTTCGTGGCCATAAGAGGATTTTTATTCCTACTTGTATTTGAACCTAGACCATCGAGTACTTTTGACCTTTAGAGCCAAGTTCAAACCAATCAGACACGACCCTTATGATTAAAAACAATTTACAAAACATCCGTCTGACACGTTCCACAAAAACTTTGATAAAACGTTATATGGTTTTGGATAATAGTATATAGTTTAATATGGTTTTTTTGCAAAAAGTATAAAAATAATAATAATAAATTCAATGTAAAAAAGAATTATTTAAATTTGAAGTTTTTTTCATGTTTTGTTTATTTTAAAAAAATAATATAGAAAATCTATTGAATGAAAATAGAGAATAAAACCTTAATATTTTTTTTTTCTATTTTAAAGAATTTGTTAAATATGCTGTTTCAACCTATCGAACCCATGGTTTAAACAAAAATGTTTAAGAAAAAAGAGTTAATTTTTTCAAAGACAAATATATTCACAAATACAAAGAATCAGAAATTAGAAAAATGATTCTAATGTTGTCATTAGGGTGCTCAGAAACTCGATCAACTCAACCCAACACGAAATAGTTCAACCTGAAGTAACCTAATGTCTAATTGAGTTATAAAATTGTCAAACCGTAGGTATTTGGTTGATATTGGGTTACTATTATTTAAACTCAACCCGATGAACCCGATAGTCTTTTATTTCTTAGATTTAATATGATTGTTTAATTTCTATTAATATATACATTAGACAATTACACTATCATGTATGCTTTTCATATACATATATTTTCAATCTATTCACATATTTATATAACTCATTCATATATATGTTCAGTAACTGTGAACATATATATGTAAATTGAGAAAATTAACTGAATGTGATATACATAAGAAATATGAATAAGTTGTATCAAATGATTGATGATGAAAAAAAAAAGTATGAGTAAAGAAATAACATATTCTAGGTTAGAAGAATATTTGAATATACTAAAGTACCAACCCGACTGACCTGAGCAACTCGTACGAGTTGGGTTGGGTTGCACTTTGGTTCAGGTTGGGTTGAGTTAAGATTTTTCAAACTGCAAGCATTAGATTGGGTTATTCAAATGTCTTTAACCCAATCAACCAAACTCATGAACACCCCTAGTTGTCTAGTTGTGGATTACGTTTCAAACATAATTTTTCATTTTTATTTTTGGAAAAAGATTATATTATTGACATAAATCAGACAAGAATATTTGTACATATTTCTTGTGATTTGAATACGTAAGCAATTTCATGAAAATCTTCAAATACAAAATAAGTTTTAGAAAGTCTTTTAGACGGAGATTTCCCCAAAACTCCATTTTATTATTCTTAAAACAATCCTCCAAACCAACCAATGAAATTAATGGAAAAGGAGAGAAATGACTTGTGTTACATAATTAAATAGAGTAACTACAAATTTGGTTCATATGGTTGGTTGTTTGTAACACTGTTGATCCCTACGGTTTTGAAATTAACATATTCGCTATTATAGTATGCAAAAACAACCAGATTTGGTCCCTGACTCTAACAGCCGTTAGAAGAACCAGTTAAGTGACGAGTATTTCCGTCTTTTTTCAATTTTTTTTGTTTTATTTTGCATTAAAATCTAGAAGTCCTTTAATTGGACTGACTTAAAGTATGCCATGTGTCCACCAGTTTCGCTCAAAGTTCTCGATCAACCCCCTAACAGCTTAACCTATGTTGACGGTGAACCAACTCTGATAATCTTCTCTAGCCACACTAAAAGTCAAAATCAAACCAAAAACTCATTTCCAAACCTCAAAATTAACCAAAAACACAAATTTAAGCCTTAAAATCCAACTAAAAACTCAAATACAAACCTCAAAGCTAGCTAACTCAAAAATTCCTAATCTGAATAAAAAATCCTAATCTAAAATAAATAAAAAACCATATGAAAGAGAGGGAAGATTATGATTTTGTTCAGAGGACTAAAAATGTTACAAACAACAAACCATAGGGACCAAATTTGTAGTTTTCTCTATAAATTACGACTTTCTTTCTTGTGATTTGTTAACAATTTCGATTTCGTCCTCATGGTTTGTAATTTACTATTTTCATCATTGGATTAGTTCCTACCTTTGAGTATAAGGGACCAATAAAGAATTGTAAACCACAGGGACTGAAATAATAAATTGTAAATCACAAGGACGAAAATAGCAATAATTTACAAACCATAAGGGCGAAAATTGCAATTTCTAAACCACAAAGACGGAAATTACAATTTTTAACAAACCACAAGGACGATAAACGTAATTTACTCTATAGTTAATACTGAAATCTCCAAAATAAAGAAACTATAATAGTTGGATGTAATTTTTCTATGGAAATGTAGACATTTTTCCTATTTTGAAGTAATTGTGAACAACTTATCCAAGATGCTGAGGAACAAGAACACAAACCTGGTCTTTACATTGAGAATGTAGCTGCCTAAAAAGTAACCAAACCTGCTTGTTTTTAGAATCAATCAATCACCATGATTATGGTGCTACATTGGCTCATCAACTACATGACTGGTTATCTAGGGTCCCAAAGACAATCTAAAAAAACCAACTTCGATTACGCCTATTTCTATATTCCTAAATGGGGCTTGCTGCAAGATGGCTGCTCACAAATCTTAAAGGTTACTAGACTGGTTTAAGTCTCTTCAAGATCAGTGGATCGTTTACCTTATTAACTTCAAGACCTTAGTCGAAATGTGAACAGACTAATTCGGACACCCACCGTTATAGAAAATAACCTTGGCCTTGTACAAATGTGTATGAAAGAAACATAAAAAATGATGCTGAAGTACTTCCAACAGACAAGCCTGAACCAAATCTACATATACACCAGGTATGAATGAATAAGATCATATTCATTTAAACCACCTTCCTTTTTTTCTCTCTACTCATATTATTGAATCTTATAAATCAACCCATGACACAAAACTGTTAAATGGAAATTAATGTGATTGAAATAAAAACAACTAACAAGTAGGTACTAGATCTGCATTGTCATAATGTTATACTACCCCTCTTCCCATCTTTCATAATCAAAATTCTGCACTACATCAGAGGCTCTACCATAGTCAAATTCCTAATTGGAAGGAATATGGCCATTGATTTGTCCTTGGTTGCCTGTTTCTATATGGATCAAGATCTGAATTTATTTCAGGCATCATGTTATGACTGGTGAAGGGGAGAACCATTAACATTTACACCAAAATCAGATGGGTCATGCTACGACTATACAAAATTGGATCCTTCTTGAGAGGCTTATAGAGTATGGACATGGTGGTACCTGAATAATGGTTGAGTGCCAAATGAGGGATCAAAGATGTGTAAAGAATCTTACCGTCTATTGCAGTTTCCGTTGTGCATATACAAAATGCTCTCATTGAAGACCTGCTGAGCTACCAGAAAACATGGACCATCTTTTGGCCAGTGTACACCGTACAGAACTGCAATAAACTTGACACCTATTTAAGTATATAATATTTCTATACGGCAAAACTCACACTCCTTGCTTTTGATGAGGCTTGATGCAACACCCCAATTCCTACTTCGGGTGCCATTACCTTCTTATTGATGCTACCAAGTCTTGTATATGAACTTCACATTTAACTTTATTTATATAACTTAGCTTTATGATTACAACATATTTCAAATACTAGTGGAAACGTAACTCAATAGCTTATAATACAACAAAATTTTGCTATTGATTAGAACAATACTTCTTTATGCTATCTTTCTTTACTCCTTCTCTGAGATACATATATGAGATACTTAAGCTAAAAGCTTAGTAAGTAGTTATGGTTTCATGAAGAAACAATTTTCATGATGCTTAACATTTTATGAATAGTAATTCACTAAACTCTTGATCATGCACAAAAATAGTGTTTTTAGCATGCATAAACATTCTTTTGAGATCTCACTTGAAACATGTAACTATGCCATAATTGTCTTGAGGATTGCTAACCCGGGTCCATAAAGGCTACCCGATAAGGTCCGTTTGCAAGACGTCCCTTCTTGTAATATATCGTGCGTTGGATATTTATGGTCATACATAACATGTAAAAACTTTCATGGCTTGTGTAACACATACTTGTATCATAACATGCAAACACTTTCATACCTTAGGTGTAAAACACATGCTTGTATCAAAACATGTCATCATGCCTATCTTGTATAACATTTTCATGTAAAGCAAACATGCCAAAATATCTTATAATGCATAAAATACTTTTATGTAGCATGTATGTACCTCAGTAAATCTCATCAGTACTCACCTTGATTATGCCTAGCTTTTCCCTTAATTCCTTTCTTCAAGCTTGATTATGTATAAAGAGTGAGATTTCTTATTTTTAGTATGGAGCTAATAGTAACACTTCAACCTCTATTTATTGGTAAATTCATTGCATTAGCTACTTGTTCTTCTTGCTCCTAAAATTATACTCTTATGAAAGTTTAACACCTCATTTTTGAGGATAAGAGAATCTTGATACCTAATGCTTAATATAAAGAAATATTGTCACATCATGCTTCTAGCTTTTGCTTGTCATCATGAATTTTGCCAACACATGCTTCTAGCCTTGACAACTCATAACTAGCTTGCTTTGTCATGGTTAGTAGACTTGCTTAGTCATCAAATAGCTTGCCAACACATACTTCTAGCCCTTACAACTCATCACTTTAGGTTCGATTTCTTATGTTGTGCTTTGTAAACTACTTGTAGACTACTTGCCTTGAAAATATGATAATTTAATAGATGCTACAGCTGCCGGCACCTTTTTAGTGTACTTAAATTACTCATAATATTTGTATTGAAGGTTTAAAACATTGTAATT